ATTTAAAAAGGGGAAAGAAAAATATTCGCTTGTTATAATTTATTATGATAGTAGAATTAATTATCAGATTTGGAATAGAATTTGGTACATTAGGCGTGCTATTCTGGTACAGCTATGATGCTAGATGTATATAAACGCATGTGTAAACACTTGTTCACGCAACAAGGTATATACATTCTCTTCTCTCACTAGAACGTAATATAAAAATCAACGATTCTCGCAATTCTATTATCTCCATTGTGTCCATGCTGAATTTGCACCTCGAAATTTTTTGAATTCGCGGATTCTGGCAAATAAGTTGCAGAAGTCCGGGAACATGGCAATTATCGTCCCGTTGACAGTTCGTTTCGTAATTAGCTGCATCGCAATATCCGTTCAAGGATACGGATGATCTCCAATTTTCGATTTCGCAGTCGAACGAAATCCTGTGGTCACAATGGTATACACGTGATAATCTTTTATTCCTAATTCCATTCTGAGCAATGAGCTGTTCTATAATTCTAAATGATGGAACTTGTAGAATACTACTTTTATAATCGATACTTTCACAATATAATCTGTACGTATAATTAGATCGATTATAATTTTTTTTCTAGTCTACGTGCGAATAATTGCATGTGAAAGGATTGGAAGAAAACAGGCTCTGACAGGAACTGTCACAAGGTTGCACAATTGCAATCCGATTATCTTCATTTTTCTAATCAATATGCACATCCATTTTAATTGAATGGTAACACGTGTTATAACAATAAATATTTTAATATTCCTGTTTTTTTAAGAATCTTATCACTAGCACAGTAATAATTGAGCTGACATAATTACAACAAAAAATCAAATCTTCGTGTTGATTAAAACTTTTATAATATATCTTCGCATTATAAAACTGAATGTCTTACATGAATGATGAGAGTTTTTTTTTTACACGCGTTCTCATACAAAAAGTTTAACTTCTAGCCAACTTAAACTTGAGGTACTTGAATCGACGTTTTATTGATTTTTCGATGGGAATTAATGGACCGAAAGGCGAAGAGCTCGAGGTCGAATGATAGCCTTGTGAAGTTTCTCATCGACTTTCTCTGTATCTTTCTATTTGAATATCCCCTGATCCTTGCCTTTATGACAAAATCTGTACCAAAGAGGTGGACAAAATTTAATTCTTCAAACATAGATTTCATTCATACTGGAGCTTGTGTAAGCATTATAAAGGGTGAAAAATAATTTAAAGTATTATTGATCGAAACATTAAATTCAGTCTGAAACAGTGTTGGTGTAATTTCGCTCGTCACTGTATACATTAAGATGGCAGTTTTTACTGACTCACTATGTATATGTATTATGTATACTCGATAGAAGGCATTTCACTTTCGCCCGGGCGATTTTGAAATCGTCTCGGTCAGGCTGCCTCCTCACTCCAATTCCATAATATGTACCGCGTTCGTGTGCCTCGGCTCGTACTTCAAAAATTGGGAAAGACCCTTCCACGTAAAAGTTTTCTATTCCGAACTGACCACGACTCTCCAAATAGGTACGAATTCGTGAATCACACTCACGTAATCGTTGGTTAACCAAAAGAGGAAGATTTAAAAATAGTCGATATGTTAGATAATATTAGACATTGAACATCGTTAATTTTAAATGCAAAACAGTTAGTATGTATATTTTATAATAAATAGTCGTCATCGTTGAACGAATTGGAGAAAATTTCAAGTGCAGATTAGAATCTGATTACGCAAGAATCTGGTCAGTGGCTTAATTATATACTTTATTGGTAGAGATTTCTTGTTCTTCACTGGGCGAGTATATCGTTCAGAGCACATGAGATTCTTCGACCAATCGATTGGTATTAAGTTGCACGTGTTACGAAATATTTAAAGTTAATTGTAGCAAATGACAATTTGATAAATAGTATTACAAACCTTTCTTGTGTAACTATGACTTCAGACGAAGGTATCAAAGTTCTAGGACAACAACATCTGGTACCAATTGAAACTAGGTAACCACCAGGCAATACAAAAAGTTAAGGTTGACACGAATAAGTGTTACAAACTCTGTTATAGATGATCTTATTTTATTTCTCAGTTTACCTAACGATCGTCGTTACCTAACAACACCAGAACACGTGTCACACTTTAGAGCAAAACATTTAAAATATATGAATTAAAATTAGGATTGTCGATCTTTAAAAATAAATATATATATTTCGATGTTAGTTGCATATTTTTTTAATTGAATGAATGAATGCATAATAAAATAATATTAAATTATTCTCTGTTTAAGGTAAGACTTGATTTCCATCATCAGAAGATTTCACTGTCTCTGCCAATTCTGTTATTTCAAGGTAAATCAATTTATTTAAAAACATATTAACAGGCAACAAATATTAATAACTAAAATGATGATGTGCAATATAAAATTGTCATTAATTTTTAATTATGCAAACTGTTAAAATATTATTTTATATATGTTATCGTACAATTACACGTAAATCTCGAAACATGTTTAATACGTACGAATAACATAGAAACGTGGACAACATACCAGAGACGTGTCCACTCTTAATTAACGCCCGAAACTTTCTCCGCGGTCATCGTCGCGAGTAGAAGTTTCAAACCGCGAGTTGCAGTTATAAACAAAACAGCAGAAACACGTTTGAAGAAATTAGACAATTTACGCACACCGAGTATTATGAAAAGGCAATTACTATGTAATACTGAGTAAATAACCGTGTTAAAAGGCTTCGGCATAGAAAGAGGTTTAAAATCGTTCTCTCAGTAAACATTTCAACGAACTTACATGGACGGACTTGTTAATAATTTATTATATATTAATTCATTATTTGTGCATATTTTTTTAATTGAATGAATGAATGCATAATAAAATAATATTAAATTATTCTCTGTTTAAGGTAAGACTTGATTTCCATCATCAGAAGATTTCACTGTCTCTGCCAATTCTGTTATTTCAAGGTAAATCAATTTATTTAAAAACATATTAACAGGCAACAAATATTAATAACTAAAATGATGATGTGCAATATAAAATTGTCATTAATTTTTAATTATGCAAACTGTTAAAATATTATTTTATATATGTTATCGTACAATTACACGTAAATCTCGAAACATGTTTAATACGTACGAATAACATAGAAACGTGGACAACATACCAGAGACGTGTCCACTCTTAATTAACGCCCGAAACTTTCTCCGCGGTCATCGTCGCGAGTAGAAGTTTCAAACCGCGAGTTGCAGTTATAAACAAAACAGCAGAAACACGTTTGAAGAAATTAGACAATTTACGCACACCGAGTATTATGAAAAGGCAATTACTATGTAATACTGAGTAAATAACCGTGTTAAAAGGCTTCGGCATAGAAAGAGGTTTAAAATCGTTCTCTCAGTAAACATTTCAACGAACTTACATGGACGGACTTGTTAATAATTTATTATATATTAATTCATTATTTGTTAGTTCGTTTATTTATTTTATTAATGTTTTTCAACCGCACAACCAGTCCTCTTTAATCATGTCGCTGGCCTTCTCGGCGATCATAATAGTAGGAGCGTTCGTGTTTCCCCTGACGATTTTCGGCATTATCGAGGCATCGACGACCCTCAACCCAGCCATGCCGTAAACCCTTAGTCTAGAATCGACCACCGCTTCGGTGTCCCATCGCGGCCCCATTTTGCATGTACCCACGGGATGATAGATCGTACCCGTGTACTCCATCATCGCGCACTTCCAATAGTCCCTCGTGTTGAACCCAAACTGCCTACAAGCGGGTAATGGCGCGTCGATCAACCGAAGCCCGTGCTCTCGGAAGGATTTCGTATAGAATAGTTCGAGCGCTGAATATATTCCTTCGACCATCGCGTCCGCGTCGGGGTAACTCGTGAAATATTGAGGATAGATCAGCGGTGGTCCCCAGAGAGGATCCGTGTCGTTGAGCGTTAAAAATCCACGACTCTTGGGTGACAATAGAATAGGTCTGATGTTAATAGCGTCGTAATAGGACAGAGGCTCGACGGCCGTCTCTCCGAAGTCCGCCGGGTCTTCGAGGTAATCCATTTGATTGCTGGCGTCGAAAGCGTATTGTATGTCGGGTAGATTATGCTGGTGCTCGAAAATCGTGCGTAGGAAAACGGCACAGGACAGAGCTCCGGTCGCGGACAACGGCCCCATTTGAGTCTTCTTGTAATAAAATATATCTTGTTGCTTCATCTCGTTGTCTTTAGCAGTCGCGGTTTTGTTCAGAGCGATCACGACACCGTCCATAGTGACGTGATCTTGGAGATTCCGGCCAACCGGTAGATCGCTGATCACTTTAATCCCGTGTTTTTTTAATTCGTTCTCCGGTCCGATACCTGAGAGCATGAGAATTTTTGGGGAATTTATCACACCTGCGGATAGAATCACTTCCTTTCTCGCGATCGCTGATTTCGTGATGCCAGTAATGGTCGATACGTATTCGACCCCGATTACAAGCTTCCGTCTGTCGTCGATTAAAAGTCTCGTGACGTGGGCCTGAGTCTCGATGGTCAGATTCCTCCGTTTGCGTCTAACGGGTCTGATGAATGCGTCGTTCGTGCTTTGACGGCGTCCGTGCGCCGAAGTCATTTGCAGCTTCGTCACGCCTAGCTGTCCCTTCGCGTTGGCATCTATGGAATCGTAGCCGAGTTCCTGCCACGCGTTTAAGAGAATCTCCGTGTTGGGGTCGACGTAAGGGAACCGCGAGACCGACTGGTAGCCGCCCTTCCTGTGGTACTTAGGGTTCTTTTTAACCACCTGGATATGTGCATATGTTTTTAATTGTAGAATCTGGATTACGATAGTTTTAACCTTGGATAATTGAAAATTACCTCCGGGTCTTTATTATTCTCGGATTTAAGAAAATACGGCAGGACTTCTTTGTAACTCCAACCGGGATTCCCGTTCTTCGCCCATTCGTCGTAATCGTTTGGATTACCACGGATGTAAATCATGTAATTAATGCTACTGGAACCACCCATCACCTAAGCAGATAATTTATATTTTAGTTAATTTTTAGTATAGATTACTTTAATAGTTATTTTTTTATTTTTTTTAAGATTAGTTATAATTTACTTTATTATAGAATTATTAGTATTATAGAATTAT